AGGGTTGGGGTCAGTACAATCCCTAAAGGTTTTAAAGATCTATCGATGCATCACTTTTTTCGGAAACTTAGATTCGAAAGATGTCTTCAAAGTACCTTCAGGAGTTTTGCATACCACACCGGCTAGTTTGTTACTGGGACAGAAATGCCTTTCCCACTCATCGCGTCTACACGAAAACAGTGATATTTCATTGCCAACACAGTGCACATTGTTCATCCATACATCAACGTTTTTGTTTGAGAACTGGCTGTACGTTGAAATAGCGTTTGTGTACCCAAGCTCGCTACAAACGACATCAGCGTCGTTTTTGTCCCACTGCTGATCACAGATCCAGCCCCATATTTTGTTGTGGTAAACTTGAACGAGGCCGTCACTGGCCACTGCGTCATTTGCTAAACGGACTGTGTGAAGACACATAAAATCAAATCATTCTTGACGTAATCTACACATTGGTTCAAAAGCAGCATCTCGGGTGTGGCGTCGTCACGTTTTCGTCAATGACAACTGTTCATTTAAAAAAAAAATCACTTCTATTTTCGCCTTACTACATTTTTTTTTTTACATAGAACTTTACTCAACCCTACCTTTTGGTGTGCAAATGACACTGGCATCCTGACTGTGGTCACAATCTGACACTCTCCATCCCTTATGTTTACACTTAGATATTGCTTTCTCCTTCCCCGTACAATTGACATTATCCATCCATATGATTCCTGACCCTTGTCCATAAGCAGCATTACGAAGTGCTAATAGACCTCCTTCGAATCCCAGCTGAAGACATACAACATTAGCTTCTGGCAGTTCCCAGTAGTCATGACAAATTGTTCCCCAGGCCCCGTTGAAGAAAATTTCTACACGGCCCTTGAATGGCCTTGTTCCACCGACTAAACGCACTGTTAATGGTATAAAAAAACATTCACCTTTGCATGTCACAGGACTTGAAAGTTAAACGCGTCTTGAAATCATATTCATGTTTGAATGTCCGAACATGACTCTAAATATATCTGAGCCTTTTGACAGCTGTCCTGACTTTTCAATTTTTCCGAAACCACAACACGTTTTAATATCCGTTGACTTTATTTTATCTAGTCTTAATGGAAATATCATGCGCGGAACCGAATTAAAGTTAAAGTTGTTTTTTATATGATCCATACGGCCCCGCGCGCTTAATCCCATAGAAAACTGTAAAGAAAGCTAACGTGTGTAGGGCATCAGAAAAAAAGGATAAACTACGTAACGACCGCGAGTGAGGTCGTTACGGGAAAATCTAAAACCTCGGCCTACCCGTAATGGAAAGTAATGACCTCGCTATCTCTTCCACAGCTGCCCCTTAGGGCCGTTTGAACTTCAAAATCATAAAGTTAGCTATATAAGGCATCTGCTCAGAGAAACAATCTTTTATTTTCTGCTCTCGGTGTACAACGACAGTCACCCTGGTGAATATTAAATTTACCTTTGGTTTTTGTTTTTCTGTCAGCGAAATTTGTTTGCAAAATTATGCCTGATTACGACATACACTTACCTTCAGGAAAAGCACAAAACACGCCAGCCACGTGAGCGTTTGTGCAGCTATGATATTTCCAGCCATCATGGGCACAGGAAAGTAATGAATTTTCAGTTCCCTGGCACTGCACATTATTCATCCACACCTTGCCAACTGTGTTTGCAGGACTGCTGTATGATGAAGAAGCATTTGTATATCCTAACTCTCGACAAACTACATCAGCATTATTTTTGTCCCATTGACCATAGCAAATCCAGCCCCATGTCCTTTCGTGATAAACTTGAACCAGACCCTCACCTAAATATTCATCTCCACCTACGCGAACTAAAAGCAAAACGTAATTAAGGTTGGTATCGGTCGTTCGAAAGCCAAGTTACAGGTGTATGTGTCCCAAGCGAAAGTGCTTTTTAACGTGTTTAAGAGTCTTTTGTCAAAATGATTAGATGTCTGCCCCTATACCTCATACAAAATTTGCTGCAAACAGACCTTACTTGTGTTTAAGGTCAGGACAAGGTTAACCGAAGAGAACACGAAAAAGAGCTAACGAAAAGGTGACAAGTGTTATTCAAAATTTTCATGGAAGATTCTCGCTTTTTCGACCGGTCTTAAAACCGCCTTTACAGAGAAAAGAAATGCAAAGTTTAACAATAAACGATCGAGCAGCAGGTGTTAGCTTTTAACTTTCAAGTAACACAATAAAAAGAACACTGTCCGCTATAGCTCTTAGGGTCACAATAATCAGGTTCATGGATCTTTTTTTAGATTATTTCACCGTTTGGGATGCAGATCACACTGGCATCTTGGTTGTGTTTACAGTTTGTTACTCTCCATCCCCTGTGTACGCACTGAGATATTTCAGTCTCTTGTCCGGTACAGTTAATGTCGTCCATCCATATACTTCCTGAGCCTTCTCCAAAAGCAGCAGAGCGAAGTCCTGTAATTGCTCCTTCAAATCCAAGCTGACGACAGAAGACCTTTGTTTCTGGATTATCCCAATAATCATGACAAATTGTTCCCCATTCTCCATTGTAGAATATTTCCGCACGACCATTGTAAGGCGCTGTTCCATTAACAAGTCTTACTGTTAAAATAAAAAGGACAAACCAAATTGTCGATAAATGTAACTAAATTGATTTATTCATCCACTTATCAAATTATTAATAAAGTTATTCATTCAAATTTTATGAGTATTTGAATCAAAACTACAGCGTTTGTGATGGTACGCTAGTAGAGTTATTAATAGCGCTTAGATTTAACCTGTGAATTAAAAAGCGAAAGTATGTCGAAATAAAAGTCAAGGTTGACCTTTCGGAGTACTGCAAACCACACCGGCAAGTCGACCTTTTGTACAGCTGTGATCTAGCCATCCATCATGAGCACACGAGATTAAAGATCCTTCGCTTCCATTGCAATTCACTTTGTTCATCCAAATTATTCCACCTTTATCCACGGGATCACTGTACAACAGTGTTGCATTTTCGTACCCCAATTCCTGACAAACCACCTTTGAGTCTATGTCGTCCCACTGCTGATTACAAATCCATCCCCAGGCATTGTTATGATAAACCTGAACCAGACCTTGGGTAGCATAGATTTCTCCACTAAGGCGAACTGTTGGAAAACAAATGTATTTTGGTGAACACGTCTATGAACTCAGGCCTTGGTAGTAGTAAGGGTGTAAAACGCTATCCAATAAATAAAAGCTTTTCGGTGGATAGAGTGGTAGACTTTGTTAACACTGCTCTACTGGATACATATTTATCCATTGAATGGAATTATCCGCCCTTTGAACAACTCTTATCAAGCGTTAGAGTATATTTACTTTTCGGTGAGCAAATCACACCAGCGTCTTGGGTGTGATCACAATCTGTTACCCTCCATCCTGTATGTTTACACTGGGTTATCGCTGTTTCGTTTCCAACACAGTGGACATCATCCATCCATATGATTCCTGACCCTTGCCCAAAAGCAGCAGAACGAAGAGAAAGTAGCGCTTTTTCGAATCCCAGCTGATGTCAGAGAACAGAGGCTTCTGGCAGTTCCCAGTAATCATGACAAATTGTTCCCCAGGTTCCATCATAGAATATTTCGACGCGACCTTTATATGAGGCAGTTCCGCCAACTAACCTCACTGTTGATGTGAAATAAAATGTTCACCTTTCAGATGTGGCAGTTATTTTATATGAAAGTTAACGCCCATTTCCATATTATTTGATATTAGTTAATTTGATAAGGATTAGTCGCAAAGCTTAATGCATTTGTTCGAACTTGTGAAAAGTAATGAGAATTCATGATCACTGTTCGTTAGAATTAATGATTCTGTTATACTCTGTTTATACCCTTTTCCATAGAGACTAATCTGTGAACCATTTCCATAAATAGGATGAGTAAAGAGAGCCGATGCCTTAGTGTAATCTTCTCGAGAATCGCCAAAAAAATTGATTTTAGGGATATTTTCAAGTGTTACTTTTTTTTTTATGGGAACTTTGCTACGAGGCTATCATACTTCTATCCACGAGACATAGTATAAAATTTCATTCCTCTTTGACGAAACTTGGTCATTGGTCAAGTTGTTAAGGCCATAGGGTGTATCAAAGTTTAATTTCCGGTACAAATAGGTTTGGGTCGAAAGAAGCCAAAATCTCAGAATCGCTCTTCCTGAAGATAGCAACAAAAATGTACCAGAATTCTATTATTTGTTTTCCTTTGAATACGATAATCTCACCTTCAGGCACAGTGCACTCCACACCCGCGAGTTGACCATTTGTGCAGCTGTGGTTCTTCCAGTCGTCATGGTCACATAAGATTAGTGATGTTTCATTGCCGGTGCACCGCAAATTTTTCATCCATATAACGCCACCTTTATCCTCTAAACTGCCGTAAACATTTACGGCATTTAAAAAACCTAACTCTCCACAAACCACATCTGCATTCTGTTTATTCCACCGCTGGTTACAAATCCAACCCCACGTTTTACCATGATAAACTTGAACAAGACCCTTGTGGGAGAACACTCCTTCACTCAAACGAACTGTTGGAAACAAAAAAGTGGTCAGAATCGATGATTGTGAATATTTGGAAATCATATAGGGGAACTTCGGTTGTAAGAAATGTACATGAAAGCGACCCTCGAAGGTAAAAAAGATGTAATATTTATCGTTAATCCTCCAATCTCTAGCTTTAGAAATTTACCAATTGGAATGCAAATCACACTAGCATCTTGGCTATGATCACAGTTCCCAACTCCCCATCCCTTGTGTCCACAATGGAAAATTGAGCGCTCATTTCCTTTACATTCAACGTCATCCAACCATATCACTCCTGTTCCCTTTCCATAAGCAGCAGAACGGAGCGCTACCAGTGCACCTTCAAAACCCAGCTGGCGACAGAGTACATTTGCATCCGGTAGCTCCCAATAATCATGACAAATTGTTCCCCAGACTCCGTTGTACGATATTTCAACACGACCTCTACTGGGGGCATTCCCTTCGACCAGTCTGACTGCAAGGTGAACAAAAGAAGAAAACCGATAAAAGAAATAAAGAGAGCCCGCGGTCCAGCGGATGACATAATTAATTTCTATTGTACAACTATACGTCCTGTTCTGGAATACTGCGGATAGATATTCCATCATGCGTTACCTGCGTATCTTAGTGATGACATTGAAAGGGTCCAAAGACGCGCATTATCCATCATTTCACCAGAACTGTCATACCATGACTCTTTGGAAAGGCACGGTTTAGCTTCCCTCTATGACAGACGCATGAAATTATGTACGGATCTGTTTTTGTCTGTCTCAAATCCATCTCGCAAATTATATAATTTGCTGCCAGATAGGCATCTTTCAGCTTACAATACTAGACACTGGCGCGTTTTTAACATGCCGCGCTTTCGCACTGATCGTTTTAAATCTTCATTTATCCCGGCTATGTGCGCGTGTGCTAACCTAGATTTTAAGCTATTCCGCTGCTGTATATCAGTTATGTTAGTTATAATAGTAATTTTATTTAGGTTTTAGCATTTTTGTAATTGGTAGTCTTATGTAGTCTTATATAATCAAGGATTGTGAAAAGTACGCAATTCAGCCTATGGCTGCAATGTATTTTAATTGGTAATAAACTATCCATCTATCTATCTATCTATCTATCTAAATAATCGAATAAAAAAAGGAGCAAGATTGAACACGTGACTCTCATGCGTTGAATTAAAATTTTCGTCAATTTTCCAACAAAACGCTGGCCATTTCATTGCGAAGTAACCAGTCAGACAAACACGACCTTAGTTTCCGAATAATAGTACTTGATTTCAAGATAGTCGCCTTATAAACGCATTTATTTTGACTTCTACTGCATGAATTTACAGCAACTGCGTCCTCAAATATTACATCGTTACTCTCCAAATTGACCCAATGTATCAAACATCTTACAACCTGTTGTGTGAATTACACTAAGTGTAAACCACACTATGTCCTGACCTAAGATATTTATTCCTGGCTAGCTGGCTGGATTTGTCACGGTGAACAGAGTGCTTGTCACGTGGTTTATTATCGTCGAGAATAGGTTCCAGTCTTCCGCACAGCTAAGTTACGTAAGCTTAAACGCTTTAGAAAGCGGTTATTTTCTATGTATGGGTGAAACATGTTGTCGAAGATCGTTTTTTATCTAGTGATTCGTTCATCTTTGTTGCATAGATTTCGCACGCGGCTTCTTACAGTCAGCTTGTCTTCTAAGTGCAGATTACAGCGAGGAGTCTTATATTTAGAAACACTGAAACAAGTTGTTGGACAGTGTTTTGGTTTACCCGATTTATGTATCGCTAGAATTAACGCGACGAAGCGGTGCGTCACATCTCACATAAAGTCATTCCCAATACGTTTTTTATCCTGTTTTTTATCCTGTTCTTACCACGTGCCCAGTAAAAAATTACTTAATCAGTCTTTTTAGCCCATGCTGAAATACAATTTCTAGCCGATGAGTGAAAATAGGACTTCTTGTTACCATTTAAAAATTAAACACTACTGTCGTCTGGAAATTGAATATGACTTTAGACCTTAAGATTTCAGGACTTCCTGTGAGTTTGGCAGTGCTTTAAATTCTCTTCATAATGGTTCAGATAAGCACTGATATTTAAACTTGGTTGCAATACAAGTATATTAGGCCTTTATTTGGTAGACTACAACTCCTTTTTAACAGGTGAGTTGCGCGCATGCGCAAGTGCGAGTTCTAGGTATGATGTGATGAATGGCGCTCGCTCGCTCGCTCGATTGGTCAATTCCTGTAAACTTTTTTTCTATTTCAGGCTTTTGAATGCATTTGATAGTTTTTGGCGAGTGATAAACAAACGAGATGGCGACCTTTGTTGCTAAGAGGCTTTACACCTAGAACATGTGCTTCAAGAAATTGATACACCAACTTTTCTTTTGAATCATATTGAAGATTAAAACAATAATAAGTTGCCAGTGACAACAACAATCCGTTTACAAGGATGAATATCCTTGCTGGTGTATGACTTTAATTCTGTCAACTAGTGGTTTATATTTAGTTTGAGATTCTTTACTCTGGCTCAGTAATTTTTGGTATTTTTCTCTGATCGAATGTTATAAATGTATATTTTCTCTCAGAAATCTTGAATTCCAAGACTTTTTCCAGTTAGCGTCAAATCGAACAAAAAGTCATCATAATTACAAGCTGAGGTTCAAAGCATCCAGTTGCAACTGTTACAAATATTCATTTTTCGTGAGATTTTTAAAATAATGGAACGATTTGCCTGAATGGGTTGTAGGGGTGGGAAATTTCACATGTTTTAAGCGTTCTTTAGGTTCATTTTTAAATATTTCGTAGTATTAGAATATTTTTAAGATTTTTCTTTTGGGAGTTTTTTACATAGGGCCAACCTTCTAAACTCCCTTTTTAAAGATGAACAAAGGCTGATAGTTTCGAAAGAAACTGTTTGGGGCTGCGTCGGTGGGAGTAACGAAATAATTTGGATATATTAATAAAGTTGAAATGGTAAATTAGTGACCGTAACGATTACAAAAGCCGACTTTTCGAGCGTTAGCCCCTCGTCGGAGCCCCTCGCTCCGACGAAGGGCTAACGCTCCAAACGTCAGCTTTCGTAATCGTTACGGTGGCCAATTTACCTTTTCAACTTTGTTGATATATCCAAATTATCCCTTTTTAGAGCATCCTTTGTCATTTATCTTTGCTTTCAAATGCTTTAAATAAACGTATGTATGTATATTTATGTATGTATTGTAAGTAAAAATTACAAATGGTAGCAGTTTACATTCCATGCTTATTCTTCGGCAAGTTATATATTTATGACTTATTTTGACAACCACTTTGATTGTCATTTGAAATCAAAAATTTTTGTGAATTACATGCAACAAGGATATTCCTAGTGCTTTCTATTTAGGGTAAACTAGGAACAATCAAAACTGTGGTCTTGTTTCATGAAACACAGATATTGAGTGTGTTGAAAGAAAAATTCATGTCAAATAGTTTTTCAAATATATTTATAGTTATATTTCCATAGGAAATTGACAAGCACAATTCCACAGATATTTCTAAAATTTGGCAAGCATTTATCATAAATCTAGTTGGAGGAAAAACATTTCTACATAGAATGAATACTTGCTAAAAGCAAGGATTTGAGATATTTATTGAATAGTGGAGATACCCTTAAAATCGGAGAATTCAAAGTAATAATTCTTAAAACAAGGAATGTAAATCTTATTTTTAATGGTGGTATTCTTAAACTGAGGAACTTTAATTGGAGAGTATAAAATTCTTAAAAGCAGAAATCTTGATCCTTTCATTTCAAGGAATTGACTCTCAAAATAAGGAAAAAATCCTTGTTTTGAGTATCCACTGACTTACAATAAGAATGCCGAAAAACATAAACTTTAGAGTGGTGTGAACATCCTTGTATTTGTTTTCATCCTCGTGCTAATAAATATCTCAGAAGTGCTAGACAGGCTTCAAGCGCGGTAATTAGTTGCAACACAAGCATAGGCATAAACATAACAAGCAAATGCGCAGGTGCATGGGCACAGCTGCAACATAAACATGAGCACAAGCGCTCCTAAAGTCGATGTTATGTTAAATAGGAACATGGTTAGTATAAGCAGCATAGTGCTTGCTGATTGCCTGAAAGTCTTTCGCTTATGTTAATCCTTACGCTTATGCCAACCCAGTCTTAACTAGACAGTATAAGCATAAAAAGAAGGCAACGTTTTGATAATCATATGCATATATGCTTATCCTTATTTCCGTGCGTTCCATCCAGCGCATAAGCTTTTACATGCCTATCCCTTCACTTGCACCGCAAGTAAATGCTGAGCTCAATATTGGAGCAATAGTTTTATGATAAACAAAACAGCACCCTTTTGAACTTTCATTGAACAAACCTTTACAACAAAATCTAGAACAGTGATTGTCTTGCACTAATCAGGCCATACTTTCTGTCTTTGAGGCCTAATTTAGTTTGACATCATATTCCTCATAATGCTCATTTACCGTCCAGTCTAACGATTCATACCCTAGTATGGAAATCAAACACCCATTTCTATTGACCACGCAAATTACATTGGCTTACCCAATTCAAGAGTTGACTAACAGAACCTTTGATCAGTTACTTGTTTGGTTGTGGATATTTCATCACAATACTGACATACTTGTAAAATTACACTCTTGATTGGCTGATAACAGCTAGGTGCCTTTTTCATGTGTCACTAGTGCAAAACTCAAGTACAGATATAATATAGGCTCAGCAACAATAGATCACACTAGAAACCAATCAGATTTACACGAAGGAGGTCGTGCTGATTAAAACATAGTATTCCTGAGTAGGATTTTACGAGAAGGACAAATTTTGATAGCATTTTAAGTCGACCATTTACATAATGATGTCAAGTTCACCTATTCATTTTATGTATGTACATAGTTGAATTTGGGAAACAGTGGCATGAAATTACAATTTAAATAATAAGAAAACTTGAAAAATTCGGGTACTTTAAATCATATTATACTATCACTCACTTGCCTGTACTTGAACTCTCTTATGATTAAGTAATGAATCAGCTGATTACTGTTCCTGAAATCTCTTATTCAGACACTCTATGTCTATTGAACTAACTGTTATATAAAACCCCTAGGTCAAATTGTAAATCTTGTTTATTCAAAAATTATTATCATTTTAGCAATGTTGATATAAAGTTGCTTCAGTGTACTACTAAGCATATGACTCACTAAATATTGCTTGTGTTCTGAACTTGTCATGTACCTATCTTTTTTCCCTAAATTCTTCCATTTGCAACCCCATATCCACTTACCTCAACTGAATTTTTCTTTGTTCGTTATTGAAAATGCAGTCAATTCCAATACAATAATTATAGTAAATGAAAATAGAAACCTGTGCTCACTAAGCATCGTGTTACTTTACATGTATGTATTGTCAAAATTAGTCATACATTCGAACCAAATCAAGCTCTCAATGGCTTCTGGTGTAGTTACATCATTTTCCGAATGCCCCGGCCCTTTTTCAATGTTTACTCTTCGTGTACTGGTACACAAAATGCCAAAAATATTCATATGAAATGCTTCCCTAGAGTTATCCTAATAACTTCAGAACTCAATTCCACTTCGTTACGTAAACAAAATCATAACTGTATCTATCAGGCCAAGACAAGATGATTTACTTTAACTCAGCTCGGTTTCACAAGATATGTAGGTTAAATTTACATAGCAACTAAACACAGTACAGTTTAAATGTGTTGTCAAAATGAGACCTTCATAACAAAGTTTGGCCATTAATCCTCAACTTAAAAATGAACATTTCAGGACTATTGTATGCTAGTTATCTCAGAAACAATATTGAAAACAGGAACGATATTGAAAACTATCTTACTGTAATCAGATCTTAGCTCCTCTAAAAGAAACTCAATAAGACATCAGACACTAAAAAGCAGCTCAATTTCGTAAGCCACACGTTTACGCATTGCAGACCTAATTTTTTCTTGTCATTTGCAGCAGACAGCTAAGCAAGAAAAAAATGGTATTTTCATATATAACACAAAAAGTTATACAACTAAAATGAGCACAAGACAACTTGCCGTTTACATTGCCAAGAACAACATCTGCCCGTTTTCGCAGCAGAATACCTAAAAGTTCGATAGAAAGGTAAAACTGAAGTGAGTAAATGTGTCAGCACGTTAAGTGTCGCTGTTAACATAAGTAGCAAATATGTCCCCTAAATAAGTAAATGTATATTGTATCCATGTGTAACAATTTTATTGCTGCGCTTTGTGAATGCGGGAAAATTAATCTATCTTTTAATATCCGTAGTCAATCAAGTCAGGAAATATCAACCATCACCACAAGGAAGCATTTGCAAGTTCGTCTTTTTCGATCTATTTCTTTCCATCGTTGCTATTCGCTTATTTCTGTCATCATTTATTCTTTCCAAGTCAAAGCACATATCAACACACCACAGCAATCGTATTAATAAAAGAAAACACATCTATCGCATCAATATGAGGTCCAAATCCCTCATAAAATTATAGTGCACGGTTAACAACTAGTCAGTTGAAGACTGGTAAGCTTTATGAACATTTGGCCGAAGACAACATTGATTAGAATAGCTTCTTGTCTAAAAAGTGATTAATTTATTACTGATTAATTTATTACTGATTAATTTACTACTGATAAGGCAAACTTGGAGGCTAGGAGGAGTATAGCTCCAAAGAGAAGGCATTACCAGAAGCGACAACTTAGTAACCTATTTCAAATTAGAAAGAGAACTGTAGGTTTGCCATCTGTTGATTTGTCATCTTTCAAAAAGGCATAAAGAAATGCAAAGTCAACAATAAGCAGCATAAATCCCCTGTTATTGCAGAAGAAACACTAATTATGACATTCATAAAGCTACTTTATCATTAATTCTTTCACCCCAGTGTAATTCCAATTCGGGTGAAATATTGCAACTATTCACAGTCTTAAGGCCAAATTGCGAATCTTCATCATCATTGAAGGTCTAGCGCTTTAAACCACGCAAGCGAAGCGAGTACCGTGTCGTGGATGCCATAACTTTGCCTTGATTTTATATTTGACATCTAACACCCAGGAATTCAGTGAGTGAAAGTTAAAAATGCTTTGCCGTAACGTACGATCAGAGCACGATTTCTTGTCTTTTAGACAAATAATAGATTAATTTTAAGGATATTCAAGAACATCGAGTAGATACATAACACAGATCTCAATCATGGCTGCTCTCAGCTGTTGCCATGCCACGGAATTTGAAGCAACCGTACGAAAATTCAATAACATAGAAACCTTAGTAAGATATTTCTGGCAATTATCAAGCCGCTTTTGACCAAGTCATGGACATAGATTATGCTTAACACAACGGATGCAATTGATTCTCGACCGAACAGAAATGCATTTTGTGCTCTGAATTAGGGATGTCGATACGTACCCGATAACTGCAACAGAAGTATCTGAAAGAGCCGACGATAGCTTATCCACCGCATCTTTCAGATCCCACTACGAGAATTGAATACAATGCAACGAGACAAAATACAAGTAAATATATGAGCAAAGCGAACGGAAATAACATAATTCACCGGACCTTAAGTGTTTTGCAATTGTTTCTTGCGTTCGAGCTCAGTGACCATGAAACGAGGTTGCTCAATTTTGTTTTTATAATCCAGGCCTTCGGTGAGTTAATGGTTGCAACATAATATGTATGACGGCAGATTGCATTGGGAAGAGAGAAAACGCATCTTATGTGTAGTGGCTATGGCTAAGTGTCTGGAACTGTTCCTCACAAACTAAACGTCCGGTAGTCATAAATTTGTAGAGAATTTACAATGAGGTTCGTTGGAAATGTCTATTCATAGATGAATGAAGTGGGTAAGTTTCTAAAGAAACTTGTGGTGCTGCGTCGGTGGGGGTAACGAAGTAATTTGGTAATATCACCTAGGTTGATATTGTAAATTGGCCACCGTAAAGAGTTAAAAAGCACTCGATCTGACAATGTGCTAACGCTCAAATCGTCAGCTTTTTAACGCTTTACGTCGGCCAATTTACAATTTCAACCTGTTTGATATTACCAAATATTCATAGATGAATTTCGAGCTCTATCTCGCGCCTACAACTACTTTGAATTCTAAAGCTCGGAAAACTCGCCAGCTTGAAAAACCAAAATGATTCATCCTGTCGCTTGGTATTTCTTAACAACATTTAAGTACTCCAGTTAGATTTACTGGAGGTTAGTTAGATTTGGCGGATACTTTTCACCGCTGGACATTTATTCTGGGTGAGATTGGGCTTTATAATGAGAGAAGATCCGGGTCAGTTGAACCATATTTTTTTTCAAAGGTTTGAACGGTGCATCATGAAAACTTGGATAAAAAAAGTTTTCTTTAAGAAGAGAACATACTACCGATTAAATCAGCAAATTATGCCCAGTATTTCTGAAAACATAATATTTTTAGGCCTTGCGGTAACACCATATAAAGATGATAAACATCTCAAAATAATGTCACGGTGGCGTCTCCGGCGGCACGTAATTAGAAACAATACTGGATTTGATTAGTACGTCGTGGAAACATCGAGGGATTAATTTTCTGTATTCGAAGAGAGAATATCTTAACATTTTAGTCAGTACTAACGCCCTAAGGAGCATCTAAATTTGAGAAGCAAGCAAAGCCTCGATCTTAACTAGGTGACCTTATTCGACGGAAGGATGGAACAGTAGAATGGCAGGGTGGGAGAATATCCTAGAACGTGACACGTCTTGCTGTACGAAACAAGGGTCTCATAAAAATGGAATTGTTATATGCGGCAGGTGCTCAAATTAAAACAAGCCGTAGATGCTATGGTTAAAAGTGAATACTAGGAGATCGCTTATTGATATTTCATCCTAGTCAGATGGTAACAACAAATATTCAGATTTAGATCTTGCAATGCCTGATG